ACATCAACACGGCCACCATCAGCACGCCCACGGGGTCTGTGGACAACTCCTGGCTGCAGGTGCCGAGAGTCCTTGCTGGACGCAGGTACCAGGGCTGGCCCCCAAGGCCCCAAAGTCCCCCAGCCCCCATGGCTGAGCCTGGGGCTCTTGGAGCAGGCTCTGTGCCCAAGCTGACAGACGTGGGTGCTCTCTGGAACCATCAGAGAGCTCATAGTTTATGGTGTAAGGGCTTAGAGCTTGGAAGGGGTTGTGTGTGGGGCTGCACTCTGAGGCGGCCAGAGGCCTAGGAATGTCATCCTGGGCCCACCGTACCTGTTGTGCAGTCTGAGTCATGCTGCCAGGGCAGAGTATCCGCCTCCCAGCCTGGGAGTGCTGAGAGCCAAATCCACTGCAGAGGAGGGGTGACAGTCAGGGTCATACCTCCTCCATCTGTCGGCAATCCAGTGGTGATCTAGGATAAAACCTCGAGAGTCCCATACACACGGTCAACCCACAACACACCTCACAGGCCAGGTAGGGACACACAGCCCCCTTCTCTCCCTCCCAGGTACCATCATAGCTGCCAGCGTGTGACGGAAGGCAGGATCCCTGGCCCCCGCTCAAGCACCATCGCCAGTCAGCAGGCTCACGCACCTTGGCCTGTTGCTTCTAGAGGTCGCCTCTGCTATTCAACCAAGGGGACCACAGTGCCTGGTGTCCTGGCTGAGCTCTGCCTGGCAAGCCCACCCACCTTCCTTGCCATGGACTCTCCCTCTTCTGCTTCTCCCAGTAGGAAGGGCCAAGCCTCACCTGTGAGACCTGCAACCCCCAACAAGATGAGGCTCCCCTCTTAGACTTGTAAGTCTATAGCCAGTGGAATCCAGCTGCCTGCCCTCCCTGCCTCCCCCAGGGTCCCTTCAGAGGATCCTGGGCATTCTGACCACCCAGAGGGTTCTCCAGTGATCACTCCAGCCATCCATCCCTTTTAGCTTCATCATCCTGGTTCAAACAGTATTCCTTCTCTATCAGGCCTGGTGGCTGTTGCGTTGGGCTCCCCAAGGCGAGAGGTGGCCCCGGACCAGTGGGTTGGAAGACAGGGTGACCAGAGAAGAAGGAAGCCCAAGGAGGCTGAGCACTGGTCTGACCGGTGCATGTATTACCTGGATGCCGTGGAAGAGGCCAACGTGCGTGGGGTGGGGAGGGATGCCACAGCCCCCAGGCACTACCTGTGAAGCTCCGGCTCCTCCCTCCATCTTCCTCCCCTTTCCCTTCCAGCCCCTCTTTTCCAGGAACATTGACACACCCACACCTGTGCCCTCCCCTCCCCGGCCCTCCCACAGCTGCTGTGGCACACCTGTGCTCTGCACTTACCTCACCAACTCTCCACTCACTTTTCTCTCTCCTATTTTCTCTCTGCTTTCTCTCCAACTGCCAGCCGATTGGGTCAGGCAAGTCCATCCCGTCCTCAGAGCCCAGGCCCTCCTTTGACCTCTAAACAGATCCCTCCTCTTCTTGGAGACCTCCCTTTCCAAGCCTCCCTGGGCAGCTGTTCTGTGATTTGACAGTGGCTCCCCCAGCCCCAAAGCCTGTCCCCTTCATCTGTGACTTGGTCTGTTGTAGTGGTGAGCGGACACATCCAGGTGTGACCGTTACTGAAAACTTGTGCCCCCCTCTGTGGTACGCCCCTGCCCTGGTCTATAAATATCTATAAATATGCCTACACACACACACACACACACACACACACACTCCTACACGTGGCTGGCCGCCTTGCCTCTAGCACTGAGAATCAGTCACCGTGCTGTCCTTTTGGAGTCTTGTGTGCCAATAAGAGAAAGCTGTTCCCTGACATCGGCTCTCCAAAGTGCAGCACCTCCAGTGAGCCTCCCTGTCCTGCCCGGCCTACGGACAGCCAGCCCCTGCCATCCCTCCCGCCCCCGCACCAAGCATGGGAGTGCTGTGCAGGCAGCTGTGTGGCCTGACAGTCTCTACCAGTCCTGCTGTCCCTCAAACCCATTTCTGGATGGCAGGGAAATGTGTCCTCTGCTGGCTGTGTTCTCTGTGGAGCTCAGGGGAGGGGAAAGGCCAAGCTATTTCTAGGGTGCTATTGGGAGCGGTGAAAAGGCCATACCCTTTCCAAGGTTCACTTTTCCTGGAAAGCCCCTGGAGCTTCCCTGGCTCTTATCCTATGAAGCTGGCTCTGGCCACCAGGGGGCAGGGCCATGAACTCAGCCTGGAGGGAGCCTGCCGGGCAGCTGGCACTCAGGAGGGACAGAAAGAACAGGCCACCAGGTGCAGACAGGAGAGGGAGGCAAGGGGACAGAATGGAAGACGCCTGGGGTGGGTGGAAGTCAGTGCCCTTAGGTGCTGGTACCTGTCTTCCCGGCCACCGCTAGATCAGGCTTCTGAGCCTGTTGGCTGTCAGGGCTGGACTGCGCCCCATAGGCGCCATGGCAGTCCCCATGGAATCCCCCAGGTGCCACCAGGCAGCATACAGGTAACAAGCCTGGAAGGTCCCCAACAGCCTAGCTGGACATGCTCAAGACACTCTGGGACTCCTCGTTTGGTGGCACAAACTCCAGGACCCAGTGAGGGAAACGGGAGCACACCAGGCCGAGGAGTATGGTTAAATCTGTTTATTCCAAAATAAAAAGCAAAATAAACAGGAGTCACATCACCAGGGAGCCACGACCCCATCCATGCCTCCTTCCTCTGTCCTATGCTAGCAATAAATAAGTTTCACAGCCACAAATAATTATTAGAACCTCCTCCCCATGTGCCAGCTCCAACCACCGCTAGGTCCGATACAGCGGCGGCCCTACCCTCTGGAATATACAAAACGTTACACAGACAAAATATGTACACTGGGGAAGGGGGCCCACGCAAGCAGCCCATGTCTTCGCCTGGTCCACAGTTTGCCCCACTGTCCTGCCTCAGTTACCTCTCTGAATATGAAGGTGGGAGCCCCCCTGAGAGAAAAGTTGCTATGCTGAGAGTAAGGAGGCCGTCAGAGTCATGCTGAAAAATTTTTACTTTTTAAGGTCTTGTCTTGCTACCCTAATTTTAACGGGGTGACTGGGAAGGGGTGGTAGGGTCATGGTGGCGGTGGAGACTCCAGCCCCACTTCTCCAGGCTTTGCTGACACAGAACTGCTTTTAATTTTTATTTTTATCCCATGACTTGTTTTTTAAATCCCATAACTTCTTTTTCATAACATTTGGTAACTTTGCATAAAACTTCTTTCTACATTTTTGCAACAATTTTTCACTTTTTTATCCCATAACTTTTTCACTCCATAACTTTTTAAATCCCATAACTTTGTAAATGTGTGTTCTTTTTATAAACACTTGCAGAGTTATATTACAATTTTGTAAACATGAAACAGATTATCTCATGCCAAGCATGCCTGGCATTTGCACAGTATCAATACCTTTAATACTATAGTTTTCAAGACTCGCAAAATAAAATTTTAAGACAAAAGCAGCACTTTGCAACAATTTAATCATTTATTACATTACAGTAGCATCACACCAGCAGTCAATAATGGCACGTTAGGGGAAAAGTCTTTCAGTATTTCCATTATAAATTCTGTTTACAAGAATTCATAAATTGGTAAAATTCATTCTAAGAAAACTTGGCAAATAAAGCTTTGGGCTGGAATTGGCATTTCTTTGTCTACTTTTCCTTCCCACCGTTTCATTCTTTTAAACTAGTGTTCATATTTTAAAATGTTTTAACTTACTTCAGAACATTAAGATAGCAGTTACATTTTTTAATAGTTATATTATTTTAAAACGACTCTTTAAGATAAAGTTTTAGAGAAACTATATTATGGATAGGGCTGATTTACATTTTCAAATTTTCTAAAAATCAGCTTAGAAAAGTTCTAGAGCTGAGTTTTTTCCATTTCTGGAAAACCTATCAGGTTTAATCAAATACTTTCACATTTATTCAGTTGAACTCACATTTTAAAATTCTATGTTTCTGATGAACTCTAACCTTCCAATGTTGCCTTCTAAGCAAATTGAAAGCTGCTTTACACTGAATGAGGAAGAGCACAAATACTTGGCTGAATGAGGTATCGCAAAAGACTACATGCACTTTGAAGACTTATGTTATTGTCATACCATTTCCATTTTTTTTAGCTTTTTCTTAAATATATGACAAATACCTACACAAAGAGTGGAACTTCAGTCCATTTTAAACCCACGGGCTAGCAATTGTACCACTGTTAATTAGTCACATTATTTGGTCTAACATTTTTTCTTTATCATTCTGAAACTGGGCTTATGTAATACATTGCTACATACATACAATTTGGAAGAGTCAGTTGAAGTCACAAGGACCCGATATTTGCACTCTTTCAGTGAATGCAGGGAAATCTGTTATTCCATCAGTAAAATCGTATTGTTGCTCTCCTGTTACTGTCATATTTATAAAAGTATCATGAGGATGCCAAATGCTAAAAATGGAGATCTCGTAACCAGGAAATCCCCACTCCAGGGAGCACAC